GCCGCCGCCGCCGCCGCCGCCCGCGTCCCCGCAGCCGCCGCCTCGGCCGCCGCAGCGCCGCCCGCAGCATGTCTCGGAGGAAGATCTCGTCCGAGTCCTTCAGCTCGCTGGGCTCCGACTACCTGGAGACCAGCCCCGAGGAGGAGGGGGAGTGCCCCCTGTCTAGGCTCTGCTGGAACGGCAGCCGGAGCCCGCCCGGACCGCCCGGACCGCCCGAGCCCCGCGCGGCAGCCGCCGCCGCCGCCGCCGCCGCCGCCACGGCCGGGGCCAGGAGGGCGCAGCGCCGGAGGCGGGTCAACCTGGACTCGCTGGGCGAGAGCATCAGCCGCCTGACGGCGCCCTCGGTGAGCTGGGGCCGGAGCACGGGGCTCGGGAAAGTTGGCGCCGGCAGAGCGGGGGCGTGCGCGCGGAGCCCGGCCGCTGGGGGGCGCGAGAGCGCGGCGGGCGCGGGGAGGCTCGCTCTTCCCGGGGTCCTGATGCGGGCCCCTGGCCGCCCGTCCCTACGCCGTGCGCCCGGCTTGGCGTCGGTCACCCTGGCGGGCCCGGAGCTCCTTCACGCCCACCTGTTCTCCTTCCCCCAAACTTTCCCAGGCACTGCGTTCTGCACGTCCCCTTTCCAGGTCTTTCATCTCTGTTCTGCAGGATCCCAAAGGAGCCCCTACCCCTTCCAGGAAACTCTTCCGCTCTTTTTTCCCACACTCTCTTGGTCTTCGTGTGACCTTCTCTGACATCTTTGCATTCCACAGGCTCTCTGCCTTCTGTGTTGCATCCCTTTTCTCAAGAATCTTCAGGAACTGGCTGTCAGATCCTTTCTTGAGTTGCCTTCAAATGATGAAACCTCTAGCCTCTTGTTTTCCCCCCAACCCACTGCCTTTTTTCTTTTTCCCCTGAGCATTTCCTGGCTCAACTTTGTTCTCTGGGTAAAGCTGGTGTCTGCTTTTCTAAACCTGTCTGGTGTTTCTTGAACCCCTACCTCCTCCTTCACTGCTTTTTGCCTGGGTTCTTCAGTGGTTTCTCCCTCATTTTTGTCCTGGCTACCTTCTGTTAGACCCTTTATAACGATCTGTTGAATTAATCGCTGGCTCCCTAGCCCTCTCTAAACTGCTGCTCATTCGGGATGTCCGTATCAGCAGTGCAAGGTGTACCCCAGACTCCCCCGCGTTCTAGACATTTTTCCGGAGCACTTCTGCCTCATCCCTGCTTAGGCCATTCAGCTGCCCTTGACCTTTACAGATTCAGGGATGCCAGACCTCCGTTCCAGTCTTTCTCTGACTGATGAGCTCTGTTTTGAAGGAATCCACTCCACTGCAGACAGAATCTTAAGGAGATTCAGTGTCAAACCTCCATCCACCTTTTATTCTCAGGCCGGTCTTGGGTCCAAGGGCTTCAATTGCTGACAGAACTTTTACCTCTGCACCTCTGGGACTCTTCTTACTTTTTCCCAAGTTTCCAAAATGAATGGGAACATTGATCTTATTTGACTACTCTGGAGTCTCACTTTTCAAAGCACTCTTGCAGTCGAGGGTAGGAGGGACCTGAGAAAGAGTGGGATCCTGATCAGGGCATTAGTACCAGGCAGTCCTACAAATATCTCCGTGGCCCTTGCGTTAATGAAGAATGACCTTTTCTTTCTTTTAGCAGTGAAACTACGCTCACTCATTTGCCTTGTGCATTTTCTCTTCAACGTACCTTTTGCCACATCTTCCACTGATAACCTAACAACAAAACTCAGAATGCGTTGGCTACTGTTTGCTATCCTTTACTGCAAATATTTCCCAAGAAGCATAATCTTTGGAACTATTTGATGTTGCAAATTGTTGAAATTATAAGCCTTTATGAAAGCAGGACAGTAATCCTGCACGTCTGTAGTTTTGTGTTAGTATCTAAAGCAACATTTGTGCAGTGTAGTAATTGCTCAGTACAGCAGATTCGTATCCGATACAATGATTGCCCTGAAGGTAATGACTAGTTTGGGGAGGTTGTTCTTACAATCTCTGAGTTTTCTTTTTGCCTACAAATCAGAATTTACAAATCTCTATGGCATGTGCCTCTGGTAATGCCAGTGTAACTGAAGATTATTCTTAACAACTTATGTGAGAGGTAGATAAACTAACTGAATCCGAGTATTTACTGCCCGAATAAGAAGGAGGAAATAGTTTCTTGCCTTTACCTTTACAAGTCAAATTTGAATGACGCTAGTTTTTTGATGGATAAAAAGCATGTACCCACATAATGGTTATGGTAAGATAAGGATAAGAAATCTATTAGCTAGCATGCTGACAACAGAAATCGGAGGGGGAGACGAACCATTGGAGACTATGGACTCTGAGAAACAAACTGAGGGTTCTAGAGGGGAGGGGGGTGGGGGGATGGGTTAGCCTGGTGATGGGTATTAAAGAGGGCACGTTCTGCGTGGAGCACTGGGTGTTATGCACAAACAATGAATCATGGAACACTGCATCAAAAACTAATGATGTAATGTATGGTGATTAACATAACAATAAAAATTTAAAAAATATAATATAAATCTTTTCAACCTCATAAGGCATGGATAAGCAAATGTGGATTGGCTAACCATATCACCTACGGACTTGGTAACACAAAGACGACAGAAAGATCATATTTCAAAGCAGTGACTTATTTCGGTGATCTCCACCCCTCTGTTTTTATTTGGCAATCTAGAACATTGCTTCAGGAAGTTTCAGTAGATTCATTTTCCTACGTGCCCAGCACTCTAAACTTCTCTGAAAACACTTGGGGAGACAAATGATGTCTTCTCCATTCTCTTTCACTAGAGCTATTTTTTTTAAATAAATAATTTCGTAAAGAATAGTTAGAATTCGGAGGTGGGAATTTCTAGCTGTTTTGAGTATTGGGAAGCTTTTGTACATTCTGTCACAGTATGTTTTGGGAGAAACTGTCCTTGCTGTGTGAGTTCCTTTCTTAGTGGCCTCAGCTTGGAATGTCATCTCAGTCACTGGAGATTGGTCCTATATTCAGAATAATCTGCAAGGAGGAAATGAATTTAATAAACACGAGGATATTGCCAAGTAATTAAGCTAGTTGTTTGATCATTGGAAAATGCTAAATCAGGTTTTTGACATTTTGACAGTCATTTTTAGATGCATTGGCTATAAATATTATAATACTTCACACCATTTTAATGATAAAAATAAATTGAATTGATGAAATTGAAAAAAATTCCAGAATCTGGGAGACCTGGTTCTCATTCTGCGTGCCTTGGATGACTGGCTACTTACATATTTCTGTGCACATGACTTTCACTCTCTAGAAGCCTTCTCGTCCATAAGGTGTCACACTTACGACCCTTCCCTGCTCTTGCATTCTGTGAAGACATATTTTTCAAGCTTTTGATAAACTGTTATAAGAGCATATAAAAGAAAAGAAGGCACCTATGAGTTTTAAAACCTTGAAGAGAGTAAATTAGTTTCCTAAGTAGGGACCTCAAGTTCTGTTAATTCCATGCAATTATTACAAAATATTTGTGTCTCTCTTGCGTGGCAAGTATTGTGCAAAGTGCTGGTAATACAACTTCCAAACAAAACATTACCATTCTTTGACCTCATGGAACTTCTTTATTATAGCCTTTATTTTAAGGAAGCTGTATTGAAGGAAAACATAAGAACTCCAATTGTGTTGGAGCGTTCTGGGGGAAGTTCATTTATCATTCACTTTGGATAATTTTGTTCCCTGTGAATCTCTGGGGCACTGCCATAACAACAAAAATAAACCTAAAGACCTGGCTGAAGATGCATAAATCGCTTATTACATTATTTATTTTGAAATCATTTACTTGGGAACACATATGGAGAAACAGCTGGGGATTTTACATCAAGGGTGAATTTAGTAACTCATTTATTTCTATTTTGTTCTTATAAATGGGAGTTGCTGAGAACCCTATCACTTAGACCCCTGTTACTTATCGGTTTGGGGTTTGCTACTGTCAGCCTGTCAGTGAAGATACTCCAGGAGACCAATTTAAGACCATGGCTTCCCTAGTTTTCTTGTCAGAGAACTATGGGGCTGTTACAGCCTTGCAGGTGGTTCTGAAGACTCCAGAGGCTATGGCGAGCAGAATGGCAGGAAGAAAAGTCACAAGACTGGAAGAGGGTGGCACATAAGGGGAGGAAAGCTACTGACAGAGAACAGTCCAAGAAACTGAGAGAACAGCAAGGAAAGAAAATGGAAGGGAGGCCTGGATTCAAGTAGCAAAAAATAAAAACAAAAACACAAACCAGACTTTGCTCCATTATTTGTGGAAAGGAAACGATATTGATACGTGCTTAGGAAAAAGTGGAAGGACATAAAAATATACATATTTAGCCTCCCCTGATACTAAATGAAATGAATCCTCTGACATGGATAAACCCTTAAAAAAACGCTTAGAATGTGACCATGTTACTAACATGTAAATAATGAAAAATAAAGTATATTTGTGAGATAGGATATTTCATCCACTTACCTATCTTATTGAAGTTTTTACAATTTGGGGCTCAATTGACTAATAAAGTTCTGAGCAACACATTCATTAGAATTAAAAAGTTAGGCCAAAGGTATTCTAGTTTTTCTATGTTTTCATATTTGTAGAAATTAGATATATAGTCTGAAATCAGACCTTAATGGCCATCTAGGGCTTTTCTGTACTTCCTCCCTAATCATCGGGAAACAATATGGCAGAGCTGAAGGATTGGGAATTTGACAGCTGTGGGTTTGAATAACTCTCTGATGAGCCCCTTAGGAAGTGTGAGACCCAGGAAAGGCAACTCTACATTCCCAGAGCCTTGGTTTCGTATTTTGTGGCATACAAATAATAATTACTTTGTAGATTTGTTGTGAAAGAGGAGGAGCACTATTCTTTGGGAGATTGCTTCAACTCAGTAAAATGTTAGTTTCAGACCAAGATCCATTAAATTCAACTGAAGTTGAATGTCTCCAAATGGTCTAAAATCTTTCTTTCTTTTTCTTTCTTCTTTCTTTCTTTTCTTTCTTTCTTTCTTTCTTTCTTTCTTTCTTTCTTTCTTTCTTTCTTTCTTTCTTTCTTTCTTCTTCTTTCTTTCTCTTTTTTCTTCTTCTTTCTTTCTTTCTTCTTTCTTTCTTTCTCTTTCTTTCTCTCTCTCTTCCTTCCTTCCTTCCTTCCTTCCTTCCTTCCTTCCTTCCTTCCTTCCTTCCTTTCTCTCGCTCTTTCTGCTGCTATAATTTACTTGCTGGTGACCTTATGGAAAGAGTTTATGGCTTAACTCGTGTCATATACTAAAAAAAAAGGTGCTAAGAAGGAGTTTATATTGTTGGCATTGCCCAGCCAATCCATTAAAAAAATTAAAAC